TAACCTGACTCAGATGCTTTGTTTCACCAAACCATTTAGGAAAGCTCCATTGGAAGCCATTTGGAAAGGGCAGGCACTTTCAAAAATACTTGGCAGGTGATTGGATCAATCTGTCTATCACCTTCTATCATGGGCCACTTCTGATTGGTTAACAATGGCTGGTACATGTGGAGCACAGCACTTCTGATTGGTGTGGATGACTGACACACAAGAATCTTTTTTTTTTTAAACTACAAAAAAAAAAGTTTTAAAAGAAATCGCAGGCTTTGCGATTTGATAATCGCATAGTTTCAAATCGCGCTTTCGATTTAAAATTGATTAATCGTTCAGCCCTAACACACACACACACACACACACACACACACACACACACACACACACACACACACACACACACACACACACACACACCCCCACACACAACAAACGGCGCAATATTAATAATGATTAATATTGATTATGTATACTGTAGGATTACTATATCTTATTTAAGGCGCTATTTGGGATTGATACATTATTATTACATATGAAATAATTTATAAAAAAACAAACTCTGAAGCATTCCATCTTTGGAGGTTTATTACTACGGCAAAGAGTGAAGCTTCAAATCATGTGGGTGAACCCTTTTGGAAAAATCTCCTAGCTCAAATAGTTGAATAGGAATTTAATTTGCAGTCTCTTGTCTATCTAATGACTCATATGTCCTGTTAGTGGTACGAGCATGTCCACGCCTTGATGGCTCACACTCTCACATACTGGAAACCCTCCTTTGTGGTCTTTGTGGAATGGTCAGTGTGTAGGGGTGTACATTTATGTGTGCATGTGTAACAGATGGAATGAGAAAAGGGAGCCGTGAATAAAAAAGGGAAATGACATTCAACATGTCATCCTCTGCAGTTTTATGTACCCAGTCCATCTGTACTGTACATGTTGTATAAGCAGCCCACAGCCTTCCTCCCCCTCCTCCCTCTCACTGCCTATCAGTGCAGCCGCGGTTCAAGGACAAGGCCACCTGCCTGCCTGACCGCATGGTCACATGACCCTCGCACTCTGTTGTTTCTCATGGTGTAGCCCCCCCCCTCCGTTTGCCTGAACTGTTGGATAGATGGATGGATGAACGGACGGATGAATATATCACAAACACTAGAGGAATGGATGTGTTTGGGAATGCCGGGGGGAGCCGTGGTTAAATGGGTCAGGTCCTTTCACACAATGGTGGCATTACTGTGGGAGTCTTAGGGGCAGACAAGGGAGGGAGAGAGAGGGGGAACACCCAAGCCCTTTTGCGCCAATTATGAACATAAATAACATCCACACAGAGCTGCCATGGAAATTAGGGTCAAAGGGTTAACTGTGTTTTCTAAAGGTGCAGGCCAACTGAACTGAACGGGGTGAAGGGGGAAGACTGAAGTTCAAACACCAAATTGAAGACCTCATTCAACCTTTATTTTAACTTGGAGATTCATTCAGGTAGAGACCTCCTTTACAATATAGCACACATATATATATAGGTAAGTACAGTAAGTGCAGCATAGGCCTACAGGGCCAGACTGAAAACCCAACCCGAGTTAAAATGGGGCGAGGGCCTGTGTTGGTCCCTGTGTTTTGTTTAGGTACTGTTACTGAGAAAATAAAATATGATCTAGGATGCCGAGCTGGAGGAACTAATGCCGTCTGGAGAGTTAAGATTAGTTAATATTTCAAATTTGAGCCTGGTTTAACTTCTTTGCTGGACAACCATGCATTGCTGCATTTACATGAGCATTCCCTGTAGGTCACCACACTCCCAACGGTAATGATGGCACAAATAACTCTTAACTTAAATGAGTATTAAAAATAATGTTTTCTTTTTCCCTTTTCTTTTGTTTTTTGTTGATGAAGCAATCAATAGTTTAAAAAAAGATATACCCACTACGAGTTCCAAGAGACCAAGATCTCAGCTTGTTTTGTTCTATCCGTCGTCCAACAAGCAAAGATTTCCTTTCATTATTTTTTTATTTATTAAGATTAATAAATGGCTCTCACATTTGAGAAGCCAGAACCTCTAACGGAGCGTCCACACAGCAGCGTTAAAAAATCTTGAAACGCTTCTGCCCATTCACTTTGAATGGGGTGACGTCACTTTGCCTCACTTTTCGCCGAACTGCATTGTGGGCAGGCGAGCGGAGATTTTCAGGATTTTCAGGATTCAAAGTTGAGCAATGTTCAACTTTTGAAGCTGAGGTGGAAGCGTCAGCCAATCAAATCCCGTGTATGCAAATCTGACAGTTCAAGCGCTAGCCAATCAAACCGCGTGTATGCTGGGAGAGACATACCGCAGGTCATTTCCTCATATTCCAAAAAATGGAGGAGAAATTAGCGGTAGGGAATCACCCGGTGCTTTATGACCAGTCCCTATTTACCTACCGGGATATAAACCGGAGGAGCCAGGCATGGAGGGAGGTGGCAGAGACAGTGGTATGTTTTCGCCTGTTTGGGGAGTTTATATCCAGTTTACTTCAAACTTTTTTGCTTCGTATGTCGGGGGCGGGAGATTCATGTGATTGGTTGTTGGTGCCTTGCTCGCAAAAAATCCCCAAGCTTCAGATACGCCCACCTCCAAGATTTTTTTTAACGCTGCTGTGTGGACGGGCCGTAAGCGGTATTGCTTAGAAAATGTGTCAAATAATAAATTATTTAAAAAAAGGCACATGTTATTACATTTTTGACCTATAGTTCTTTTTAATAACCACCTATTTTAACAGTTACTTCTTGTTTAAATGTCAAATTACATAGTTTGTTTTTTATTTGATATTTGCACAAATGTAAGTATTAGGAAATGGGTCTTCTGTGTGTTCAGGCGTGTCTTTTCCCCAACAAATCTACAGCATTGTGCCTGGCCATGTCTAAAACCACCAGACACACTCCGATCAGTGGGCTCAGCACATGCTGCATGGGAGTGTGAACCTGCTGTGTTTAGGAAAGGGGATGACAGTAATGATCATGGTGATGTTGAAGATGATAGGTTAGATGGTTTGGGGATTAGCTGATGATTAAGGGGTGAGGGAGTGGAATTATCACAATGGTAGTGTTTAGGGTGGACAGAGGGCATGGTGTGTTATTTCAAAAAGCTGATAATAAAGGTTGTTGTAAATGAGCACCCTGCCACGTGTGCGGGAGTTTATGTGTTTCCTTCCACTGCCACATTGGACTGTGCTCAGCACTCTGCCACAGACAGCTGTACCACCACTGCCTGCAGGCAAGCAGACACACAGACAGACAGACAGACACACAGACAGACAGACACACAGACACACAGACACACAGACACACAGACACACAGACACACAGACACACAGAAGTGTAGCTTCTCCAGCTGGAGGGAAGCAGAGGAAAGCTTTAAATTAAAAGCTGGGGACATGGCACTCTTGGAGTTAAACAAGAACAAATATACCTGAAAACATTGAGGAGTGTCTGTTTGATCTAATAGAAGTACAGTGTGTGATTCTGGAGTAATTAAGATAAAAAAAGCTTATACTACAAGTGGAATTAAGCATAAAGAAAAACCTGTATGATGTAACTGAACAAGAGAATGAGTGAAAGCAAAAGATGCCTGCCTGGCATCGGATTAATCCAGTGTGGCAGGTCAGAGGAGCAGCTAAATACCTGCTTTGCTTCAGCTCTCTGGGACGACCCATCCAGAAGTAATATCCAAAGGTTCAGTCAGTCTTTTGAACCTCAGTCAGTCTCTGCCGGCTGTTTACTCATGCTGCTGTCATAATCTTTGAACATGTAGACCTTTAGGACTCTGGGATTTAGTCGTGCAACAAAGCATATAGTCTAGTTTGCTGGTAGCCAAACAACTGAAACTGAACAGGATGTGGAGACATTTCAACAATTGTTTGCAGAATTTCACGAGTCAATGACATTTTGTCATTCAGGAGGTTGTTCTACTATATAGGAATAGAAAGATTCACAATATAATTCACTATTAAATACATACATCATAAAAAGTAATATAGGGGCGATAATTTTTGGCTTCAATTCAAATTAGTTATATCGTGTTCATACCTTTTTGTTAAAACATTTGAAACACGTCCCCAGCAACAGTAAGACAACTGCTCTACCTTACATAGAGTTATGTCTAAAAAGCCAAATAATATATTTCAAAAATGGGTTGAGTTTAGTCTGATATTTGTTTAGGCTGTACTGTATGCTACACTGTAAGTGTCTTCATTATATTGCATTAAAGAAGCAGGTATTTCTAATATTCTGTGCCTCTCATGTAGGGCTGTGCAATTAATCGTATTTTAATCGCAATTACGATTTTGGCCTGCCACAATTACGAAAACAACATAATCGAAAAAAACAATTATTTAGCTTTGCTTGGTTGTGACTGTGCACTGCAACATATTTGATCTAATTAATTTTGGTCTCATTTATTTGTATTTATCATATTTATATATGTTTAGTAGCTTGTTGAAGTGCGCGCCAAAATATTTGTTGATCTTGTTTATTGGTATTTATTATTTTGATATTATTTATTTAAATGTATCATTTATTTAATTTATTTTTGTATTGGTTTTTCAGTTGAATTATACGTTCAGGGTAATCAACAGTTAAAAAGATACTGTTCAAATTATTATTTGTATTTGTTTTAAAGTTCAATAAATGGATGTTTTCAAAGTCAATGAATAATCGTATTTAATAATCGTGATATCAATTATTGACCCAAATAATCGTGATTATGATTTTTGCCATAATCGCACAGCCCTACTCTCATGGATGTAACATTAGCCCATTCAATATAATGCAGTCCAAACAACACCACAACTTACTACTGCCTAAGAAATACCATGGAGTTTCATGCTTAATCTCTTCAAGAACACATTACACGCTTCTCAAAGACATTATTTCTTGCAGGATTATTGTAATAAACTGGATTTTAATATACTGGAAACATGAATTTATAAGTCAGCCTCAAGATATTGACCCTTTCCCTCTTGTCTGTTGTGTTGCAGAGTGCAGCGATGGAGGAAACGGTCATATGGGAACAGCACACAGTGACCCTTCACAGGGTAAGTGTTTACAACTCTCTTTTTTCCCCTTTGTCTTCTTCAGTCTCTGTCTGTCCAGGCATCCCAACCTACAGTATGTCTTTTAGTATTCTTCACTTTTTCCTCCCTGTGTCTCTCTGCCCATACATCTCTCTCCTCTCTGTACTGAGACGGACAGCTGTAGCAGCAGGATGTGTGGTACTGAAACAATAGTCAAGGAACCCAGATGGCAGGAAACAAGGCTTAGGAAGACAGAAATCAGCACCCACATCCTTACTACTTCATTTCACTTCCTTCCTGTTGGCAACAAAGTCTTCTCCTTAACACAACTCCAGGAAAAGATGAGGATAATGGCTTAAGTCCATGTGCTTTTGTCCTGTTAAAGTCACATGTTATTATGATAGATTTCCCTGGTGTCTGATTACCCCTCATGCACAATCTGCATCATCAGATTAAACTATTAAAATACATATCCAACCAGAGGTAAGTGATATTATAAATATACTCTTGATCTTGTATCCTGAATGTGATTGGAGACATTAAACTGTAGTTAGCTGTAGTACAGTGGGATTGTATAGAGCACTTGTCTAGACTGGCCTGCTTGCTGTAATCTAATTAGTACGGCTTTATTGGGCTTGAAGGAGCAGCCCGGTGAGGCCTGCGGTTCTCTTGTGCTGTTGTGGTTGTAAGATCAGCCATTAACATCACTTGCCTCGCTCCCTTGGTGCTGGTGTTTGCGCACAGCCCTCAAAACCTCCATGGAAACGTCTTGGAAAACGTATGCATATGCAGAGCTCTGTTGTTTTCTTCAGTACATGTGCCAGTGTTTTAAACCCCATTTCATTATTTTACTCAAACAGCGGTTTCACTGGTAATGATCCTACAGAGAGCCCACTAGCCTGTTTTTGCTTATAGCAACGACTGGAATAGGGCCAAAGCATCTGCCAATAATGCTGTATCAGTGAGTGTGTATGCTTTTCTGTGTGTGTGTGTAGGCCCCAGGGTTTGGGTTTGGTATTGCCATCTCAGGTGGGCGAGACAACCCTCATTTCCAGAGTGGAGAGACCTCCATTGTGATATCTGATGTGCTGAAAGGAGGTCCTGCTGAGGGACTGCTACAGTAAGTTTGACAATTATAAACTATATTTTTTGGGTTGTAGCTGGACTGTTAGTTTGACATTGGTAAGCTCCTATTAAATATTTCAGTTTTATTCTATATAAATGACTACCACCCTGTTATGGGGTTGGATTAACATCGATCTCTACAGCTATTTAGACATTGTTTGTTAACTAAGTTGTTTTTATTGTTTCAGAGAGAATGATCGAGTGGTGATGGTCAATGCTGTCTCTATGGACAACGTGGAGCATGCCTATGCAGTACAGCAGCTCCGAAAGAGCGGGAAAAATGCAAAGATAGTAAGTTTGATTGTAGTGATAGATTTTGTGTGACACTGTGTAAATCTGAATGTGCAACTTCAATTATCCTCTGATCGCGTTAACTTCAGATGTGATGGAGACAATAACAATTGCCTCTTTAACACAAAAACAATTCCTATCTATTCAAAGACTATTCGGCGGAAGAGGAAAGTGCAGTTACCTGTTTCTCGGCCAGGGGACAGGGAGACGATGTCAGAGCATGAAGAGGAGGACAGCGATGAGGAAGATGGCTATGAGCACCACAGTGGACATGGCAGCCAAAGTGCCTACGGAGGAGCGAGCGGAGGCACGGGCACCGGCAAGCGTCCGGATCGTGAGCGGAGCAGCAGCGGCAGGCGGGATCACAGTGCCTCGCGGGAGAGGAGCGCCTCGCGGGATAGGAGCGCCTCACCGCGCTCCGATCGCCGATCACAAACCTCCTCTGCACCAACCAAGCCTGCCAAGGTCACACTGGTCAAGTCCCGTAAGAATGAAGGTGAGCAACACAATGTCCAACACATGAAGAGTTCCCTCAGCTATAATGGTAATCGACAATTCTCTGTATATCTGTGCATTGTACATTATACTATCCTATGTATATACAAGTATGTCTATGCTCCTGTAGTGTAAGCATGATCGTGTTTTGATCTCCGGAGACTTCAATGTCCATGTGTGTTGCGAGTCCAAACCTCTGGTTAGGGACTTTTTAAATCTCCTTGATTCTTTTGGTCTCGTTCAGTCCGTGGCTGGCCCAACACACGATAATGGACACACTTTAGATTTAGTATTATCGTTTGGACTGTCTGTCTGTGGATGAAATCTGTGCAGCAACGCGTATCTCAGACCATTTACCGGTTCTGTTTACAACTTCGATCCCTTCCGCAGGAGTCGAATCACGTGCCCCTGCGCGTCGTCTGCGTTCGATTAACCCCTTGACTGCCTCACAGTTTTCTGATGTTTTTAATGCTTCCCTGATCTGTAAATTAGAGGTGAACTGTGCTTTTAGTGCTGATGAGCTTATCTCCATGTTTGACTCGACATGTACCCTAATACTGGATTCTGTTGCTCCTTTTACGCTTAGACGCACCAAAGTTCTCTCAGAGCCGTGGCTCAATGACTGTACTCGTGCTCTCAGACGCACCTGCAGGCGTGCAGAGAGAAAATGGAAAAAGGATAAACTCCATGTCTCCCTAGAAATCCCTCGTGCTTGCCTTTCCGACTACCAGACGGCAGTCAAAGCAGCCAAAACAGAGCACATTTCTCTGTTAATCTACAAAAACAGCCATAAACCTCAGGTTCTTTTTAATGTCCTGAACTCTATTATTAATCCCTGTGATGTTTCTTCTATTGTGCCATCACCGACTCTCTGTGATAAGTTTCTTACATTTTTTATTGAAAAAGTATCTGCTCTTAGGCTAGCCCACACTAGTGCTACCCCAGATCCTGCTCCTTTTCTGTGCCCTGCTGTCCTCGACCACTTTGAGCCTGTATCCCTCTCTTCTCTCTCGGATGTAGTCATGCACCTGTGGCCGACAAACTGCACCTCAGACAGCATTCCCTCTCGCCTTCTCAGAGATGTTTTCGAATCAGTTGGAGCAAGTATTTTATTACTAATAAACACCTCTCTTAGCTCAGGATGTGTCCCAGCTGCCTTCAAACATGCCATGGTCCAGCCACTACTTAAAAAGAAAAATCTCGACCCCTCCATTCTCGCAAATTTTAGGCCCATCTCCCAGCTACCTTTTTTATCTAAAGCCCTGGAGCGAGTAATCTATGTCCAGCTGCAGTCGTTCTTAACCACGCATGGCATCCATGAAAAGTTTCAGTCTGGCTTCAAACCCATGCACAGCACTGAAACAGCCCTTTTAAGAGTTTTTAATGATCTGCTCCTAGCCGCCGACTCAGGTTGGTAGCCCAGCTGTCCTGGTGCTGTTAGACCTGACAGCTGCCTTTGACACTGTGGACCATAGCATCCTGTTGTCACGGCTTGAACAGTCCGCTGGCATCACAGGCTCTGCCCTTGCATGGTTCAGGTCCTACCTGACAGACCGTAGCTTCTCAGTGCAGCTAGGTGCCTTCTCCTCTGCTAAAGCCCCTCTTACCTGTGGGGTTCCCCAAGGCTCTATCCTGGGCCCCATCCTCTTTTTACTGTACATACTGCCCCTAGGTTCAATTCTCACTAAACACAATATTCCCTTCCACTGCTACGCCGACGATGTACAGATCTATCTGCCTCTCAAAGCAAATGTCAAACACTCACTACAGCAGTTGATGGACTGCTTAACAGAGGTAAAATCCTGGCTGAGCCAACATTTCCTTAACCTCAACGAGAGCAAGACCGAGGTCATCTTTTTTGGACCCCAACCTCCAGCCTCTCCGGTTGATATTCTGGGCTCTCTCAATGAAAACATCCTCCCCTCTGTCATGAACCTTGGAGTGACCTTCAGTAGCACTTTTAAATTCGACAAGCAAAATAAAATTATTGGCCAAAACCAAGTCGTATTTATCTTTTAAAGATCTAGAAAGGGTTATTAATGCCTTTGTAACCTCAAGACTGGACTATTGCAATGCTCTGTATGTGGGTATGGACCAGGCCTCAATTAAACGCCTGCAGCTAGTCCAAAACGCAGCTGCACGTCTTCTGACTGGCCACAAAAAGCGTGACCACATCACCCCAATTCTGGCCTCACTACACTGGCTTCCAATTTGGTTCCAAATGTATTTTTAAATCCTTTTATTTGTTTTCAAAGCCCTAAATGGGCTGGCTCCGGCCTATACAGCAGAACTCCTCCATCGCTACACCCCAGCCAGAGCTTTAAGGTCTGCTGACCAGCTGTTGCTGATAGTGCCCAAGACCAGGCTCAAAACCCGAGGTCACCGAGCCTTCGCAGCAGCTGGCCCCAGGCTCTGGAACACTCTGCCCCTCCATGTGAGGTCGGCCCAGACACTAGGGGTTTTTAAATCCTCACTAAAAACACACTTCTTCTCCCTGGCCTTCTAGTCAGAGCGGAGCATGACACCTGACTATTCCCTGTGTTTTTGTTTTTTATATTTCTGTTGTAAATTATTGTCTTTTAATGTGATTGTAGTAATGTGTTTTTATTACATGTACAGCACTTTGGCTCGACCAAAAATCTGGTTTATTCTCTGTTCCACTTTTTAGGTATTTTTTATTTTATGTCTGAACACACTGATGCTTCTTCTGTAACAAAATATTGTGATCAACAAAGTATCTATCTATCTATCTATCTATCTATCTATCTATCTATCTATCTATCTATCTATCTATCTATCTATCTATCTATCTATCTATCTATCTATCTATCTATCTATCTATCTATATATCTATCTTCTCACAGTAAATGTCTATCTTTATTCTTGCTTGTAAATGTTAATTTTATTAGCAGAGAACCTTGTGATCAGTACTTTTATACGCCCTGTTAATATGACTTTATGCACATTTACTCTGAAAGTAGAATACGGACTGCGGTTGGCTAGCCACATCTTTGTGAAGGACATCTCTCCTGAGAGCCTCGCTGCCAGAGACGGAAACATCCAGGAGGGAGACGTTGTACTTAAGGTGAGATATTGAGAGGAGTGTTTGCATGAATGGGCCATTGGTTTTGAAAACACAGTAATGGAGAAATGTATTAATACAAATATTATTAGAAGATTACATAAAACATGAATGTGTAAAGAAATACCTCAAATGTTGTCCTTAATAAAGGGAGTGGGCTGGTAGAGAGAAGAAAGTATCAGGTTTTACTAAAAACTTTCACTAGTCTGCTGCGGTATTCTGCGAGCGGCTGAAAGTGGGTCGCAGAGCGAGGTCACAGTTCATTAGTATGCAGGCTCTCCAGCAGGAATACCAAACATTCTTTCATTCCTTTGAATTTCTATCCAATCAATTTGTGAGGAGCAAAAAAAATCCTCCTCAACGGCACAGAGATGCATTCAAAATGAAATGTACTTTAGCAATTGTTCTGAAAAAAGGCAGAGCCATTTGTGTGTGTGACAAAGACAAGAGAAAGAAAATACCTGAATAAAGATAATGAAGTTTTGCTTTACACAATATATTTGATAACATTTCTGTGGACAATGTGTGTCTCTGACGGCACTAAATTCATTGTAATCTACCTAGACATCATTGTTGTCATTATGACAGAGAACAATTAACAATTCCTCTTTGCCTTGTACACACATCGCTCACACATCGCTCACATTGGGGGCTCTACAGAAACATTGTGCAGTGAAGATGACTGAGTTCTCATGTCAACCCTCTCCTCTTCTTCCTGTAGATCAATGGAACAGTTACAGAGAACCTTTCACTAATAGATGCCAAGAAGCTGATCGAGAGGTCAAAGGGCAAGTTGAAGATGGTGGTGCAGAGAGATGATAGAGCCACGCTGCTCAACATTCCCGACCTTGATGACAGCATCCCATCAGCCAATAACTCGGACAGAGATGGTGAGACTTGTAGCAGCGGTTGGATGCATCTTATTGTATTTTTTTTACAAAAGACACATCTGTAGCAATGCAATGTCTGTATGCACTTTAAAATAAGTTAACAGGGTGTCCGCGGGGTCTTAAAAAGTATTAAAAGTTGATCAAACAATTTAGCGAAAATTAAGGCTATTAAAAAGTATTAAACGGCATTTTCCAAGGTATTAAGAAGGTCCACAGCAACGACAACATGAAACACCCTTTAATTTACTGCAACGACATGTCGGGAAACCCCCTCAAGGCGGCCCCATGCATAGCGCACCGTAAAATGCTGCTTCTTATTTTAAGTTTCGTTGCCTTGCTCCGTCTGGGGGGGGGGGGGGGGAAGAGAGAGTGTGTTGGGGCGCCACTGATGGTGATGAAAGCTGGTTCGAGGGGCCCCCACAGACTCTAGAATCGCCATTGTCGATGGGGATCAAAGCTGTCCGGTCCCACATGCTAAGTAATAGCCAGAAAGCCGCGGCGTTTAAGTCCCGACTCTCCCGATGACCAATCCGTGCCTCCCCTGAATGCACATCACTGACACACACCGCTGCATTGCATACTCTCTGCACGGAGGAGCCGCGGAGGAGCCGCGGAGGAGCCGCGGAGGAGCCGCGGAGTCCGGGCGATGCTGCCCCTCCAAGGAAGAGACACACGTTCACTAAGCCGAACTATATCCGGTCACAGAGATCTGCTATTTTAAAGTAAAGTCAACACATATCGACCATAAATATAGTCTATATTAAGAACGAGAAAAGTCTTAACATATATATCGTTTTTTGTAAACATATGACAATTGTTCGAGGGTGATGACGTCAGAACATCGTCCTATGTGCCGGGGCTTAGCCCCGGACAGCTGTGAGGGAGCTCCTATATGGCATTACCCCGCTGAAGCTCACCAAAGTTTAATATATTTCATATTTCAAAGTTTTGTCAATTGTTTTATTTATTGGTCAAATACTGGTTTCTGAGGAGTTTTACTGGAATGAAAGAGCACAAAGTCTACAGAAGCAAAAAAGCAGCATACTGCATTAAACCTGACCTTGACAGAGAGGTTGAAGTTCATGTGGAGAGGAGGCTTCAGTAGTCTGTCTGTTTTATCTCTTGGGAACAATGCCTAAATCAAATACTTTCTAATGGTTTCTTTTTCTAATAAACCTTGCATTGGGTTGGTCACACAATTCATTCTCTTGTGCTTTGTTTTATCTGAATTATGATAAGGAGTTATCATAAACTGTTTAGTTGTGCTATCTTACAATCAATACTGTATATAGTAAATGTGAGGTAAAGTGTGTTGCCAATGTAACCGGTTAGAACTCGAAGTGGCGATAAGGTCTTAAAATGTATGGAAAGGGTCTTGAAAAAGGTCTTAAAAGGTATTAAATTTGACTTCAGGATTCCTGCATATACCCTGAGTTAAATAATAATGTGTTTTCCTGTCATTATAACTCTATCTGGATTTGTGTCATTGATTAAATGCAAATACAAATTTCATGTTAATTTCACAGACATTTCAGAAATACATTCGCTGACATCAGAGCATTCCAATCGATCGCACGGGCGAGGTCGATCACGCTCGCCTGACAGGGCCGAGCCATCAGACCTTCCCCGTCACTCACCTCGGCAGATCAGCAATGGCAGGTAAGGGTAGCACACATACACACACGCACACACACGCACACACACACACACACACTCACACTCACACTCACACTCACACTCACACTCACACTCACACGACTGCAAATCAGGTGACAGGACACAGCTGTCACACATGCCACAGTCATACATCCATAACCCCACAACTCCAACCTCACACATAATTATAGTGGGTGCTGAGTGAGTACCTTTCACCACTAATGCATAAATCAATAGATAAAGACATTGCATGCATAAACCATCACACTCCCTCCAGATCACTGAGTTCCAATAGAGGAGGGATAACTATCCGCCTCCTGGTGGACTGAGGTCTTATTTTTTGTAAGTTATCTAGGTACTTTTGACTATTTTCTGTACAGAAAACAACCTTCAAACTGTTGTGGTTGTCTTAAATCGTGCAACGCTAGTTTTATTTAATATTAAACTAAATGTACTCCTGTTGTAATTACTAATGCAAAGGACCTTAACATTGTTACAATGAATCTTCATTTTATAATGCAAGTACAATCGATGCAAGGCCCTTCCATAGCTACATCCTGCATATACTGTACACATGATGTGCTGTTGATTTAGATCATTGTAATGTCCATAATGTCTCTTTGTCTCCTCTTTTCTTACTGCCAGTTGGAGCTTCCAGTAAGTTTGTTCTCTCGTGGTTTAGTAGTGTCATAGCTATTTGTAGCAGACGAGCACATAGATGTCATAGGAGTGTTAGAGGAAGTCCTGCCAGTCACTATAGTTTCTCTCAGCTTAAGCATTGTATGCTAATAGGGCAACTAACCTTGGCAAACATGGGACATGGGGAGGGACACAGGCTTGGAGACCTATTTACATATAGTACTAGGACCCATATAGCTGTCGTAGCTGCGTGATGTTTTGAACTACTCTGCTGCTAGTTTACTTTTCTAGCTTACTAGTTGCTTGTCAGTCATAACATACAGCTAGATTAACCTCCAGTGCCTTTTCCTTAGATATCACATTGTGTCAGAGTGTGTAACCTTGCTTGTTTTAATGCAGGTTCAGGGCAGGTTCACTGTTGAACAGATTCCTTCCAATGTAAGTGAATACATCGCTCTGATACTAGGCCAGTGTGTGTTCTGAGTATTTATGTGATACTTCTCTTGCTCTTGCTCTTTCTCTGACCCCTCTTTTATATTTGTGCACCGCATCTCCTGTTTGCAGCAGTCAAAGCAAATATTACGTCATTTTATTTGTGTATACTACGGCACATTTTGTTTGACTGGTTTATCTGGTGAGCACGTGAGTTTTTCAGGAGGAGGAGTTACACCTGCTTCTCATGTGTTTGTGGTTGAATAGGTTACTGAGGGAATACCAGTCTGACACTCACATCGCTGTAATGTCGGGGATGTTTTCATTATCTACCAGTTTAGGAGGAGAATTTGACATACTTCCCACAGTGCTTTGCCCCAAGCCAGATGGTTCGCTTAACCTGATTGGCTGTAGGGCTTAGAGGCATTATTCTCCCGACGCTGTAGAATGTTTTTGAATACAATATATTATCAAAAGCGCCCTTCTCTCACAGTGTCTCTCAGTGAGCATGAGTGTACATTGCACATAGGATCTGTCTTTCAGGGAATTTAACTCACTTATTTAGCGCCATGGTTCAACTGACAGACAAGTATATGTGAGTAATTTCTGCTTTATAATACGTTTTTGTCTTATTATTGATATGTAATGTTGTTGTAATGTTAGTTTTCAACACTAGGATATTGCTATTGCACATTTTGTCTGTTTTGCAAAGAGTTTCAGTTTATCTAGCCGATTTTGTTCTTTTAAATATTTTGGAGCTTGTTGACCGTTATGCAGTGTTGAGATTCTGGTGTGGCTGGACTCTACTTGACATAGTGTGTTGATGTCCATGCCTCCTTCACTTGTTTTGTCCCTCTCTCCCTTGCTTGCTCTTGCCTGTACCCACACTTTAAGAATGTGTAAAGGAGGGGATTGAACAAAGGCTTCTGTCAAATGGCGTATGTCACTGTGAACCCTTATTTAGCGTCATTCTGCAGCAAAGAACAACAGATTGAGGCCACAACACACTCCCTCACTCCTCTCCCTCTTTCTGTCCCTCTTTCTGTCCCTTGCTCTGTTGTCCCTCTCCTTTCCCCCTCTCACACTCTCTTTCTCATTCATCCTTTACAAAAACACACTCTGTGTTTCTCTCTATCTCTGCGATTACAATTCTGTCATATCTCTCATTTGCCCTTTTCTCTTCACAAAAACTTCCATAGAGAACTCTGATGCCGAGTCTGCTGACAATTTTGATGTGTAAAACTGATTGTTAGTGAGAGAAGTTGTGGACCTAGAAAAGTCCATGCTGTGTTGAGAAAATAGAGTGATAAAGTTCAGCAGCTGCAGATTTAAAACCTTTGTGTGTAAAAAGATATACATGTACTGTTTTTGACTTTTACTGATTCATTATAGGTGACTTCAATGTACTGTGAACTTTCCTACACTGTATATTTTCACACTGTGAAAAGTAGGAGAATGGGAGAAGTTGCTCAGTCTGAGGCGGTGGCACAGCCTGCACCTTAACATTCTTCCACAAAAGCTCCTAAATGCAGCTCAAGTACTGTGCCAGCAGGCAGTCATGTGACCAGAATGGAATTCAACCATTGTTTTAAGCAGCAGAGCCCTTTCTTCTCCGATAGACTTAGCCTGCAAGACTCTCTCTCACTCTCTCACACGCACACACACATGCACCCAGTTTCCCCTTGTTTATTTTATCCAGGTTAAACAGGAACTTGGACATAAAAAGTATCCTTACTCAAGAGTTTATGTTGGAAGACTGGGTTTGATTTTTCTTTCTCTGCCTGTGTGCTTTTATTGGAATGGTTGATAAAAAGGGAGGTTACATCAATCTTCCAAAAGATGTTCACTTAGATATTAAAACCCTGTCTGCTCCATCTCAGTTTCTGGTTGTGAATGTGCTTTGCCATTGACATACAGCATAGATTACAAAATTAAACTGCCTCGTCGTTTTCACAGAGCGGCACATCCTTCTTTTAATAGCTCATTGTCTTCACCTTCAAAATCTGGTCCACATGCTCCTTCACGTCATGTTATTTCCTTTTAGCGTTGTGTCTGTATTTCCCTGGTGATGTCAGCACAGGAACAAACTATATGAACACAACAACATTCTTACACACACCGAAATCAGCAAAGATGTTGCAGGCATTTGAGGAACTCCTTAATGGAAACCATTTTCTTTTTCACAGCATTGACAATCCTATAGAACTGAATTTCTAATTGTTATTTTTGCCTTTTTCAGCCATCGAAGTCGAGATGAGGATCGCATCTCCAAACCAGGGTCCATGTCCACACTCGTCAAAAGCTCCGATGATGGCGTCTTGTCTCAGGCCAGCGACCAGGCCAGCTCCAGAGATGACAAACTGTTACCTCCGCTGCCGGGTACAGAAACCCCTGCCCCCCCAGCCCTCAGTTTGAGGGATTAGTGTTGTTTCTCTTGGTTGTCTCAGCTTTCACCACCTTTCTATATTTGTACACCTCATTGGGTTCTACTTGTATTTATTGTCATTGTGCAACACAGGTTTACGCCACAAATTGTTTACAGATTGAGCTTTATTCTTTCACTTTTGCAATTGCTTTTACTATAACCCAGCACTTTTGCAATTTTTACTTTACAAGTGTGTTAAAACCAATGCTGTTCTGCAAAGAGTGCAGGACTAAATAATAACTATGTTTATATTTATGTTTCAGAACCAAAGCCAGTTTATGCACAGCCTGGGCAGCCTGACGTGGACCTGCCTGTCAGCCCCTCTGACGCCCCCGTGCCCAGCGCCGCTCATGATGAGAGCATCCTCAGGTCAATGTCCCAGATGCTCTCACTTTAGATTTTTACTTAAAAGCTGGTCTATTGTTGATTTAATCCAGGGTGTGCTAACCTTTTTAAATCTATGTGTTGTCCTGCAGGCCGAGTATGAAACTGGTGAAGTTCAAGAAGGGAGAGAGTGTTGGTCTGCGGTTAGCAGGAGGAAACGACGTGGGAATCTTTGTTGCAGGTGTTCTGGAGGACAGTCCTGCAGCCAAGGAGGGGCTGGAGGAGGGAGACCAGATCCTCAGGGTACGCCAAACTCCATCTATCAAAACAAAACGGCTTGTGTGTGTGTGTGTGTGTGTGTGTGTGGTGTGTGTGTGTGTGTGTGTGTGGGTGTGTGTGTGTGTGTGGTGTGTGTGTGGTGTGGTGTGTGTGTGTGGTGTGTGTGTGTGTGTGTGGTGTGTGTGTGTGTGTGTGTGTGGTTGTGTGTGTGTGTGTGGTGTGTGTGTGTGTGTGTGTGTGTGTGTGTGTGTGTGTGTGTGTGTGTGTGTTGTGTGTGTGTGGTGTGTGTGTGTGTGTGGTGTTGTGTGTGTGTGTGTGTGTGTGTGATATATAAGCTTCATTAGTTTTTGTGTATTTCATAGTGGAAGAATATCACACAGGCAGCAGTTAATTGGGTTTTAAGGAAAGTGCATCAGTTGTCGCTTAGAGTTAGTTAAAAATAACTGAACCCAGTGTAGTAAAAATAAATCTGGATTCATTTAATTAAAGTTTATTTTCACAGCTGAAGTGAAAAATGTCTAAAATTCTGTAAAAGCTATCCTTTAATTGCATCTGTCAAAGCGCTCTAATAGAAACTAAAAACTCCTCCACCTACACTGTCATTTATCAAATATGTCAGCTTTAGTTAAATCAATTGACAGTGTTCGGGTAATAAGGAAGACATCTGCTGCTACACACATATTACACAGTAACCATGGGTGTGTAAATGTGTTCTCTAATTTCCTCGTTTAACCAGAATTCCCTCAATAACTTCTATATTTTGTGCGCATGTAGTGTATGTGTTCATTCTAAAAGTCACAAGCAGATATAAAGCTTAACTGTGGCTAAAGATCAACACCAGGTCCCGGGCGTTTTTTCGTTGTTGAAACTATTACCTTTGATTCTTTTTTTCCATTTCTCATGTATGAGTAAGAAGAACATCTGGTGTTATTGTGGGAATAGATGAGCAGTAGCAGCCCACACTAACTTAGCTAATCAGTGGTGAAGCTATGTGACCCAATGGCCACAATAGTTGTATTTCTGTGTGAAGAGATCTTGGGAATACAGCACAATGTATTCGTCAGTCCATGAGTCATTCCAGGCTGTGCCTCGTGTCAAAACCCCCCTTGTTTTCAATGTGAAGACACAATAGAGGTCGTTCTTGCACTCTGACCTCAGAACAGTTGACTTTCTGTCTCACTGAACACTAGAGTAACATTGTTGATGCGATGATGGAAACCTCTTGATGTCAGAGCTGGATCCATTCTGACATGTTTGTACAACAACGCAGCATTTCACCTGCTTTGTATAATTCTGTGTAGCTCTGTAGTGTAGTGTACTGCTCAGATGAGGCTGTATACGTAGCTACACATGTCATAAACATTTAAGGGCTGCTTTATTCTGACAGACTAAGCTGTTTGTTACTGTATCTCCTCCTTCTCTTAATGAGTGAATCTTGTATTCCTTTAATTCCACAGCATAGATTTCATTCTGTGCCTGTGTGTATGTGTGTGTGTGTGTGTGTGTGTGTGTGTGTGTGTGTGTGTTCTCTGCACTGTACAAACAGACATTGGAGACTTCCAGGACATTGTTTTCAATCTTTAGATGGTTTCCCTTTGGTCACGGTGTGCTAGTGGAGATAAAGACGTCAAGCCCGTCTGTTTCTGGGAAGGATAAAGGTGTCTTTCTGAGGTTCAGCGATTCAGTCCATGTGTTTCTGGTTCCCCTGCTGCCCCTCAAGCAGAGTCAATAAACAGCAGTTATTGTGTTTGGGACAGCAGCAGGAGGTGAGGAGGAGGAGGAGGAGGAGGCTGCTCCCTTGTAGGGGGAATACATCGGCCTGCTTCTGTTGGAACAACAAGTTTTTCTTTTCCTGTGTTCCTATTCTGTGAGAAATCCAAAAAGTATTCACTGCTAACGTTTTTTTCTTTGGCAACTAATTAAAAAAAGGAAGCTTTTGAATGTGGAAAAACAGTGGGGGAGAATGATATCATTTAGTAGCCTTCAACCACTGTGAAGCATTTTACAGTTTTCTTTCAAACTTGGTAGGGTAAAGTTGGCATGCAATAACACAATAATAACAGTTTAATTTGCTTCTTTGTATGATGGCCCATTAGTTATAATGGAAATGAACGTGTACGTCTTCTGTTATGCATCTGAAGGTGAACAATGTGGACTTTGCTAACATAATCCGGGAGGAGGCTGTGCTGTTTCTGCTGGATCTCCCAAAAGGAGAAGAAGTGACTATATTGGCCCAGAAGAAGAAGGATGGTGAGTGACCACAGTCATTAATGACATTGTTAGTTGTGAAAAAACATCATCAGACATCGAAGGCAGAACATTTATAAGGTGGATTTAATCATCTATGTCATTTTCTGCTCTCTCTTCAGTGTACCGCAGGATAGTGGAATCGGACGTGGGTGACTCCTTCTACATTCGGACACATTTTGAATATGAAAAGGAGTCACCGTACGGGCTGAGCTTCAACAAGGGCGAGGTGTTCCGTGTAGTAGATACGCTCTACAACGGCAAACTAGGCTCCTGGCTCGCTATCCGTATTGGCAAGAACCATCAGGAAGTGGAGAGGGGAATCATCCCCAACAAGAACAGGTACAATACGCTTTAGGTCACACCTTTGAAATCCTGTAGAGCGTGTCCTGGCACTTTATGAATGGGCAAGGGTGGAGACACAGGAATAGATACACTCATCAGTGAGTAGCAAGGAAGGATTCAGGAGCACATACAAATTATATTTTACACATTTATGATGATTTGTGGAAGTGTTTTAAAACTGGTCGTATTGAACAGATCCTGTATGTCAGGTTAATGCTGTTATAAGGACTAGTGTGTGAGGTTTTTGAAGGCTTTCTGTGTGTGTGAGGATATGAAGTATAGATCATAATCCCGCCAACAGCAGTGTCTCCACAGCCTTCAGCAGCCGCTCACAGTGTTTACACACAGATTCCTCAAAGTCCTGCCGACAGGAAAGACATAGCTTTCCAAGTGTTGCATGCTTTTATATCTCGTACAATAAGTCTTGTGAAATATTTCCAGCTTCTCAGCCAAGATAGATTTGCCTCCCTGGATATTCTTTGAAAACAAAGCTCCTTAAAGTAACAGCAAGAACTCACAAATATTCTTTTAAATGATGCAACATATCGTTGCTCAAAAATAATAAAATCCAATAAACATGAGTTATTCTCCACGCTAGCCAATGTGTCAGGCCAGAGATTTCACTGCAGAGTCTTGCCTTGAGTTCTATCAAACATGTACCAATTGGAGGAACACTGAACTGTGTAAATAACACTTATCTGTGTTAACATCTTGGGAAAATAACCAATGCAAAGTTCTGAGTTTGCTGATATCATAATGCTGACCCTGTCATTCTGCTATTCACAGACAAATCATTAAGTTGTGTGATATTTTAGCTCTTTGTGACGTGACTATTGAGCTATAGATTAGATTGTACTAGCCCTCAAGACACAATATCAATTAGCCTAAATATATAATGGCTTTTAAGAATGTAGTCAGCATTTCCTTGGTCAATGATGGCAACTACTCAATAATCAGTTTGACAACCATTAATAATGTTGGTATTTCATTGACAGTATCTTGTTTCTTTCTGTCTAAACAGTAGTCAGCCTGAAAAATAGTCTCAAAGTGGCCTTTATGGCAGTTTAACTGAATTTCACAGCTGACCCTACTCATACTGATACACCGTATTCATCATCTCTCTGTCCAGAGCGGAGCAGCTGTCCAGTGTGCAGTACACCCTCCCCAAAACGCCAGGAGGGGACAGGGCCGACTTCTGGAGATTCAGAGGACTGCGAAGCTCCAAGAGGAATTTGCGGAAGAGCAGGGAGGACCTGTCCGCCCAGCCCGTCCAGAGCAAGTTCCCTGCCTACGAGAGGGTGGTGCTGAGGGAAGGTAAGAGTACATCGAGGAAGACTTTAGGCGCAATCAACTCCCAAATCTTTTCAAACTTTCATTTAGGGAGAATTTACAAAAACACAAGAACCTTTACAGCCCTTTAACAAACCGATGTTTTTATACCTCGAAGCATCACAAAGTTACTAATTTGAACAACACTGATTGTGATGTGATACAGATGTATGATGATGAAGTATTGTGCCTGTGAGTGTTCCATGATGCTGATTTGCTTTTGTGCAGCTGGGTTCCTGAGGCCTGTGGTTCTCTTTGGGCCAATCGCAGACGTGGCCAGAGAGAAACTGGCCAGGGAGGAGCCAGACATCTTTGAACTAGCAAGTAAGTGATAAAGTACACATCACCGTCTCTTCCGATGTTCATGTGTTGAAAAGGGTCCCACTTGTGTCTTACAAAGATAGGAGACCTCACTCTTAATGTACACATCACACATGTCTAAAGCTGAATGCTGTTTAACTTGTCAGCATTCAGCAAATGTTCACAGTAGTGGTCAGTATCTGATAAATATGCACCCCCACATTTTTAATAGCAAACTGAGGTCTACACACCTCGGAACAACCTTATGACGTCTGGGAGATTTTGGAGATCAGAATAAGAAGGAGTTATTATAAACTGAGTGATTGTAGGTGAACAAATACAGGAACAACAACATACTGTTGAAAGTTGACTAATTGACTTGAAAATAAGTCATTCACCATAAAAGAAAAAGCAAAAGATAGAGACTCATATCTCAAGAATTCTGAGTCGGATAAGACGAGAGGGGCCAGCACTTGTTATAAAAGTTACATTGTTGGTGTTGTTTCCCCCATGTAGTCTTTAGTAGTGTATATAGACTGCTGTTGGCTGTTAAAATATTTAGTACAAAGTCAAGGAATTCTTTATTTTTTTAAGATGGCAATCTGCTTTACTCCAGAATATGCTACAAATACTACTACTACATATTCCTTATTTATTTTAGTAGGTCAGGTTAGTCAGGTTGTGTCTCCTGTGTCCTGTTATTTAAAACGTCTCTCTTCCTTTATCTCTGTTTATTTTACACACTCCTCTACACACCACCCAGAGCCGCACACACTTTCTCCCCTCAGTCCTCATCCACTGCCTCTTACTTCATGAAATTGCAACCCTCCTTAATGTATGGTATTTATTTTTAACACTCAGTATTGAATTTCAATGACTTTAAGTGCACCGCCACACAAGGCAGTGCAAGTACACACACATATTCAGCACACACCCACACACAGTGATTCCATTCATTGATGTGTATTCCCGCCACTCCAGTGATGTTTGTGTAACTGTACTTTCTTTTCAGAATCACAACAACAACAAGGAGGGGAAAGTATGTCACATAGTGCATCAACTTTTATTTGTTTCATTGATTTAGTGAATGAGAGATAATCTGGTGTTTGGTGGCTATCTAGATAGGCCTATAGAGGTTTAAACAATGCGCATGGGGGAATAGCACTTGATTTAGGAAGTCACATTTAGTCACTGCAATTGGTTATAACAATTACTTTTTATATATTAGCATGACTATAAGGTCAATTGCTGACCTGACACTGAATATATGCAATATCATACAGTTCATATATTATTCTTGGTGGAAAGAAATCTACAATTAATATTTTAAAAACTAAATAAAAATACATCTATTAAAGATGTTCAGCAGCAGTAGCATGGATCACCTTTTGCACATCCTTACACACTTAGACATGTTCTACTTCTGATAATGTTTTGCTCCTTAGAGACTTGCATTTGCATTCTTAAAAGTAAACATGTTTCAAATGTATGCTTTTAAGAATGCAAATGTAAGTCTCTAAGGAGCTGCTGGTTATTGTGATATTGCATGTTGATAATGGAAGGGACTGCCGTATCTTTTAATAGACACAGTAGTCATTTTAAAGTTAAAGTCAGTGTTATTCCCCTCTTAATGGCATCATGTAGGGAGACAACAACAACAAGGCAGCATGTAAAGCTCTGCGTTTAATTTGCAATAAAACCTGAGATGTGAGTTTTTGCTTTTTAACAGAATCATAACAAAATCATCAAATAATGTAAAATTGACTAAGAATGTTATGATTATCTGTAGTTCAAAATGTTTTGACATATTGTCATGCTTTTCATACTTATTATTTGCCAATGAAACACTACATGCAATAATAATTACACATAATAATACACAGCATTTAGTATCTATAAAATAATCAAGTATCTCAGCAGTGGGATCAAAATATAACCTGTTTAGGAGTTATATCCTGAAATAAGTCTGACTACACTATGCATTCAGACACATTATCCATACAGTAAATACATTGGATATGAAGTTCATGCACATGCTGGAACAAAGGTGTATCAGAATGAAATGTGATATTTTTTTTTTAATAGGCAATTTGAAATGGCTTACACTCCAGACTGCAATCAAACCACCACTTTAATGTTAATCTACAAAAGCACATTATACAAAGCTGACAGTGGTGTGTTTCTGTGCGTGTCTATCTAATATGTTATAATGCAGTGATTGCATAAAAGCCCCTGAGTGTAAATGGAAGGACTTTTCAAAGATTGGTCTTTCAAATGTTGTGTATTCTCAGAAATGGAATCCCAACACATTATTTTAACATTGCTGTACACGCTTGATTCTTGACTTGTTGCATGGATATATATATCTGCCCTCTCTAAAATGTAAATAGCTGTGTAAGATCATAGATTGTATTAGAATGAGAAATGTATTCTAGCCTGTGATGTGTTTGAGTTATTATTATTATTCTACACCCTGTTGACATATCTCCTTCTTCTGAACCTGTGTGTCTAGGCAGGAAACCATTGCTTATCTTTTTGTGAATCATAAACCCCTGTACACATCCTTGCCTAAATCCCTGAGGCTTACAATGACAGTGTATTCTCATTAATCCTGAAATGACCCTCATGCTCTTGTATGTGCATATTTCACGTCAGTGTTTCTCACATAACACATTTACGGAACAATAATGTACCGTTACATGCAGTTGCACGCGCACATTCATTTAACACTGAATTTAATTTCCCAAACCTAACCAAAATACAGAATGACTTTTGCATGAATTGGCTGCTCTTCTCATTTTTCTTTACTATCTAGCTTCTTTCACACACGTCCACTTGTCCTCTCCCATACGGAGATTTGTATTCAGTTTGTAACGGCTCTATTTATGGGAGTCGACAACTGCACGCTACGAGGATGTCTAATTGGGGGCACAGCTTGGTTTTATTGTTGTTCTCTCTTGTGTTGACATGATGCAGTAACTCTGTCCATTTGTCTTCCATAGAGAGTGAACCCAGGGATGCAGGGACCGACCAGAAGAACTCCGGCATCATTCGCCTGCACACTATCAAACAGATCATTGACCGGGTGAGAAACTAGATATGCTGGTGATATGTAGAGACATGAACATCTTTTTACAGATTTGTTATGGTAATGAAAAGATGGCTGCGAGCCACGATGATGTGCACAGCTCACTGCTGCCCTCTGGTGTCCGTACTGCATCCCTGTGAACTATAGGGTTGCAGGTTCACTTTAAATACTAATCCAGACTGATGAGCTGACTTCTTACAATGGCTCAAGATCTGATGCACACAATATGTAAAAACATTTTTCTTTATTAAGGAGTGCAGATTTAACAGACAATACAACTATTTTTCACATTTCCTGGTTTTGGTTTTCTTATTACAGGAAATTGCACTACTCTCTCTCTTTTGTTACATATAAGAAAACAAACAGAATCCCCCCACCCTCACAAGAACTGGAGAATTGGTCACAGCATTGTATTGCTTTAACATCCTGATACATTTCACATGATATAGAGCAAAAAACACCACAAATACAAAAAAATCAAGATAAAATAATAGTATCTCTGATCGTCCTGTCCCTACATTTCAATAAAGGAAGTGCTCACAAAATGGAAACAAACTAATTAATGTTTTTGTTCTTTTTGTTTTCTGTGTTTTTAGGACAAGCATGCGGTGCTGGACATCACCCCTAACGCAGTGGACCGTCTGAACTACGCTCAGTGGTATCCCATTGTGGTGTTCCTCAACCCCGACACCAAGCAGGGCGTCAAGCACATGAGGACCCGCCTCTGCCCCGAGTCTCGGAAGAGCGCCAGGAAGCTCTTTGAGCGATCCCACAAATTAAGAAAGAACAACCACCACCTCTTCACCAGTGAGTCCAGCGGGAAAGAGGGGATTGGGGGGGGGGGATTGGGGCTCCAAACAAAAGGGAGGGGTGTGGTGGAGATTTCACAGCCAGCATTGACACTTTTCAAAAGGCAGTTGACAATTGAGTGTCGCAGCGTTAGAGGCTGTGGCTCCGCTGCCTGGCCCTATTCTGTCAGATTCCTAACAAACGCTGGTTCAGCACTGACCGTCACACAAGCGCACCCCCAGGGCCCGTCCTCAAAATGTCTCTCTGTCAGGAGAGGTGGTGTGACCATGCTTTAGAAGCATCTGTGGGTGAAACAGATATTAGAGAATCCCTAGAGAGTTTTCTTCAATATTTTTTTAACATTAACTTCACATAATCAACTTTCCCATAACTATAATACAACAAGCTGCAATGTAACCTCGACACCCATATCCTTGAAAGTTATTTTCAGATCCAAGTCTCATAATAATGTTATACTGTCTGTACTTTATATAGAACTAGTGAAGAGAGAAAGCTGGGATATTTTTTACATTTATCAAAAATACATTTACTAATTGATTTGGACCTGGAGAAACTGGGACATTTTATTGACCATGAAAGCACAATTTGTTTAGTGATCACTTTGATGAAGATAATTGTGTATAGTTCATGTCTCAAATGAACTTTTAATTATGAAGCTGTTGTTGTACTTCATTGTCAATTGAAAATATGTTGAGAGATGTGTGTTTCTCCTCTGTCTGTATTCAGCTACCATTAACCTGAACAACATGAATGATGGTTGGTTTGGAGCTCTGAAGGAGATCATCCAGCAGCAGCAGAACCAGCTGGTGTGGGTTTCAGAGGGCAAGGTGAGACCAACACACACAAACCATGTAGACTGGAAATGTAGACAATTGTATTTAATTTACATAAAACACAAAACAGGATTTGCACCAAGCTGCTTCACAAAGACAGACGTATATGCATATGCATACATATATGAGCAAAGACGTTGTTGAAATGTAACAAAATCAAATCTGTTTGTACACAGAAAAACATAGAGATTTAAACTGTCAACAGACTCATTCTTGATGTGACCCCCTTTCTCTCTCTCCTTTTGTTTCCAGGCTGACGGGGCAGCTGAGGATGACCTGGATATCCATGACGACCGCCTGTCTTACCTGTCTGCACCAGGCAGCGAGTACTCCATGTACAGCACCGACAGCCGCCACACCTCTGACTACGAGGACACGGACACAGAGGGCGGGGCCTACACCGACCAGGAGCTGGACGAGACGCTGAACGACGACGTGGGTCCGCCCGCCGAGCCGGCCATCACCCGCTCCTCCGAACCTGTCCGCGACGACCCCCCGGTGATCCAGGAGCCCCCCGGCTACGCAAGCTTCCACACCGTGCAGCCGACCCCCCTGAACCGCATCGACCCGGCAGGATTCAAGGCTCCGGTTCCGCAGCAGGTAGCGTTTCTGAGAGCCGCACGTCTTCCCTGTTGTCTGGAGGACGTGGTTTGCGTTAGAAGGGTTTTCTGGAGGCGCTATTGAAGGCACTTTTTCAATTTTACAGTTATTCTGTATCTACTGTTACCAAACAATATTAAAACTTCTGTGGTCAGGTATTTATCGCAATATATAAATATTATATATAATATATATACATCTATATTTATGATATTATTTATTTTATCTATTTGCCTATATGTGTTTGTAAATTGATCTTTGTTAGCGTGTGTTTTTTTATTTTTGAAAAGGAGATAAGTTTTACTGTTACTATTGTATTCTGTATTACCACAAGATGTCTTATCGGTGTGATTGTTGCTTATGCCTCTGGGAAAAGAAACGTACGTTTGTCTAAGTGTCTGTACCAGTACTCACCTATGTGCACTTCCTACCCTTGTTTTACCTGTGATCGGGACTGTGACGAAACAACAAGACAAAGTATTATGTGCATGTTGGAATTACCAGTGTTAATCCAGTGTACCTGTGAAATGTATTAATCTACACCCAATCGGCCGCTGTGACACCCAAATCTAAACGTTTGTCGTCTAATGATGTGTTAATGAACATAAAAGGGGTAAACAAAAGAAGCCACTGTATTGTAACCTTAGAATTAAAATCGAATTAGTATACTCTAACAATGAAAACTTGTCCTGCTGCTAATTCCTAACTCTCGCATGACATTGGTTGACCTACAGCTATTGTTTAATGTGGAGGTGGATAGAATGCTGTGACGCTAGTAGCATTTGTTAGTATTGTACCGTAGTGTCAGCACATGTTATTAAACATTTCTGAACCACTTCACAGAAAGCAGAGGCCGCTGCCGTCCCTAGCGTCCCCCCGCAGCCTGAGCCCCTGGCTGAGACTTTGCCCCCTGCTGTCGACGTTACTGTAAAAACTGTAGGGGGGGTGAGCCCTGACGAGGCTCCTGCAGCTCCTGTCAGCCCGCCAAGCCCTGACCCAGAGGCGGGCTCACTTAGGATGCCCACCCCTGAGCTAGCCCCTCAGAGCGTCTCACCAGAGCCTCTACAGTCTGGACTGGCCGGTTCAGAAACAAAGGTATCCATGTTCCCCCCCCGGACGCTCCGTGGCCCGGCTCGGCTCAGCCCGGTCTGACCCGCTGACCTCCTGCTGCTGCTGCTGCTGCTGCTGCCTGTCCTCCTCTTCTTCCTCTGCTGCCACGCTTCTCTCTCTCTCCTTCCGCCCTGCATGTCCGCTGACCAAAGTGCTGCCCAGAAGAGACAGAGATGTGTGTGTGTGTGTGTGGGTGTAATTGTGCGTGCAAGAGTGTGTTTGTGTGTGCATGTGCCGGAGTAAATGCTGGTAAACAACAGTGGGCTTGGAGGTGAGGCTGCGCTGACATGCCTACATGTGGGGGAGCAGAATCCTGACGCTCTCACTGTTGCTTATCCTCTCTGCATGGCTGCAATACGTTTGTCTTTATTCTCTGTTAACAACCCAACTTTGTGTTTTTTTTATAAGTGCAGATGGTTTTCTTGTAAAAGTAGCCATTCATTTTCCAACCATTTTTATATGTATTATTTTGTTCCTGCGTTTCAAATGTAGCCAAGAAACAGACATAATTTAAAAAAAAATACTCTGGATGGATAATCAATGGTTACTTCTCAATTATCAGGACTTTTTAATGTTTTTTTTACAATGGGTATTTTCTTGTAATGTTATATATTATTGTGGATGTCTGATTTGCCTTTATAATAGCGCCAAGACAGTGGGTGACATTTTCACTTGTCTATGCAGTACCCCAAATTATAAGTCAAATTATCGATAGACGTTCTATGACATAACGTTCCTGCTAATCTTTTCAAATTCTGTCAGTTCAGACAAGTAAAATGCATCCCATTGTTTTGATGTGGTTCTGGACAACTTTGTTTTTCCTTGTTTATTTAACTGTAGTGTTTCATTTGGAGCTGCAGTGGTACATTGTGATGTTTTTACGCTGCATTGGGTGTTTGGCTGTGCTGCGATTTCTATTTAATCTTGTGTATTACCTGACCAGTAACCCCTCCCTCTCAGTTTCTCTATTTCAGGTCTTTCCCTTCTTGTTTCTTTTTCTGCACTTAATTTCAACAAAATTATTTTAATATTCTCCTTTTCTTTAACCGATTTTGTATGTCGGCTTATTTCATACTACACATTTGATGTATTAGGATGCTGTGCTGTTGTTAACTTTATTCATTGTGTTTCATTTGTTTGGTAGATGTACCAGAAGGATCCATACATCCCAGACAACACAGGAAGAATCGGTCACAGCATGAAGCCTGTGACTTACAACCCTCAGCAGGGATATCACCCCGACCAGCAGCCATACAGAGATTACGACCACCCCCCCAGCCGGTATGATGTCAGCAGCAGTGGAGTCAGCAGCGGAGGGGGCTTCCCAGAACCAAAGCACCGAAACAACTATGACTCTAACCTGCCCTACGAGAACAGTGTGCCTCACTACGACCAGCAACAGTGGAACCCGTACAACCAGCCGCTCCCTACTGCCAACTCCCAGGGCTACGACCCCCGCCTGCCATACGGGGACAGCCCTGACCCCCAGTACACCCCCCCTCTCCGCTACGACGAGCCCCCGCCTCAGCAGGGATTTGACGGGCGGCCTCGCTACGGCAAACCGACCGGTCCAGCTCCTGTCCGTTATGATGACCCCCCACCCCCTGTTTCGGGGTCCGACATGCACTACGACCAGGATTCTCACCTGAACGCGTACCCCTCGGCTGCCCACTCCCCGGACCCCACTGCCCAGCGGCCGGCTTATAACCCGGGACCAACAGCACAACAGCAGAGCTACAAACCTCAGCAGTATGACCCCGTTCCTGTGAACTCTGCAAGCAGCCCCACACCCCCTCCCAAAGCAGAGGCCCCCTCACCCTCGCCTGCCGATCCTCCGAATCCTTTCCCCGCCAGAGATCTGCAAGATGAACCCGCCGCCCGGGCACAGTCGGTCCTGACGAGGGTCAAGATGTTTGAGAACAAGCGCTCTGTGTCGGTGGATAGAGTGGCAGTAGAGTCTTCTGGGAACAAGGTAAACTGTTTTGCAGTTAAATTATAAAATGTTGCAGTTGTTACTAGTGGGCTTAAATTGTGCATTTGTTCTTTATCTTTTTTAAGTGGACATTCTATTCTATCCTACTGATAAGGTTCATTGCTTTTGCTATTGCAGGCAGCCGATATACCTTTGAAAGCAGATGGAGTCATCCCAAAAGCGAATTCTCTGAGCAACCTGGATCAAGAGAAGACCTTTAGGTAAGCTTGCCTAAATGCAACTGTAATAAGTCACTTTCATTTCACACCATTGACCAATGTCCTTTAGTCATTGTAATATCTTCTCCTCCTGCTCTGCTCTCACCATCTCAGCCTGTGTTGAACCGTTTTAATTCTCTTATCCCAGAGCCCCAGGGCCTCAGCAGCCTCCATCCATGGTCGCTGATGACATCGTGCGCTCCAACCATTACAACCCAGACGAGGACGAGGACTACTACAGGAAACAGCTGTCGTATTTTGACAGGCTCCAGACCGGTCCTAGCAAAGCCCAGCCACAAGCACAAACAAATAACAACTACTCCAGGTGATGCTCAGCCACATCCACATTCCCAAACATATAATATTCTAATGAAACATCGTTGGCTTTTATCTTCTTAGATTAAATTATCATGCCTTTTCCTTCAATTATCACATCCTTTATGCTTTTATGATGAATGTCTTTGTTCCTTTTTACTTTATATCTTGTACTGATGGTTTTGGTCATGTGATATAGGACGGAGTCAGTGGAGAAACCAAGTCCAGTGGAGAAGAAATACGAACCAATTCCCCAGGTGACGCCTACTCTGCCACCCGCCACACTGCCCAAACCCGCACCTGAAGGTAAAAATATACTGCCTTCTGTCAAAGGAGAGAGGGATTAGCGTATTATACAATATTGTAATCACATGAAGATCTATCTGTGTACTGAGAGACGCTGCAGAGCTCTTTGTCTGACCCTCGTGTCTCTCCCACAGCCAACACTGTGCAGGCCAACTTCCTGCCTCACAAGAGCTTCCCTGAGAAGTCTCCGGTTAACGGCACAAGTGAACATCCTCCAAAAACCGCTCCACCAGCAACCAGCTACAACCGCTACACTCCCAAGCCCTACACCACGTCTGCCAAGCCTTTTGCGCGCATGTTCGACAGTCCTAAGTTCAACCACAACCTCCTGCCCAACGACAAGCCGGAGACCGCTCCCAAGGTAGGCAGAGGAACATTTCAGTGCATCATTCTAAAGATGGTCAAATAAGTGATGAAACAAGGGGGGGGATATAAGATCTGTAGCCCTCAGATCTAATACTGACTTATCTGCATATTCAGTTATTTTTACAATTCTTTACAGGCATTTATCTATGTGGAATTCACTTTTTTTAAACTTAAATGTTGTCACAATTTGTAATTCCATTGTACTTAGAACAGATTGTCCTCTAATAACTGATACACAAGGGATCGTAGCCAAAAGGATTTATTTATAAATTATTGGAATTGTTAGCAATCTGAAACGGGAAGTAGTTTGCCTTCTCTTTCCTCCTGTGTCAATACTGCATCGTTGGGAGTTACGCACATATCTTACACGTTTTATACCGAGCATGCTGGGTTCATAATAAGAAACTATTACTAATTTGATTGTTGTTGGTTACATAAATAACCCAAGCTCTTCATCTAGCTGCTCTTTTTACCTCCAGTCTAACACATAACCCTCTTGTATTTACCACAGGGCCAGAACTCTAGCCCTGTAAAGCCTCAGACCCCCCCCCAGCCCCAGAACATAGACCATGACAGCGGCCTGGACACTTTCACACGCACTATGGACCACCGCTCCAAAAACCAGCACAACAACATCAACGCTGTGCCCAAGGCCATCCCTGTGAGGTAAGAGACTCCGTCCCACTGCAGATCAAATGAGTTTTTGTTGGATATGAGAGTGTGAAATTCAAGGTATATCCGCCCTTTAGCCCCAGTGCCCTTGACGATGATGAGGATGAAGACGAGGGCCACACTGTGGTGGCAACAGCACGAGGTATCTTCAACTCTAACGGAGGCGTCCTGAGCTCCATCGAGACAGGGGTCAGCATTATTATCCCGCAGGGCGCCATCCCTGAAGGCGTGGAGCAGGAGATCTACTTCAAGGTCTGCAGGGACAACAGCATCCTGCCGCCACTCGACAAGGAGAAAGGTAATCAATGATGAAAGGATAAAGAAGGAGTTTTCTTGGGCCACTGAATTATCTTTGCTTTTTGAAACCAGTATTTTAAAGGTCACCTATTGTGCAAAATCCACTTTTTCATGTCTTTTATACATAAACATGTGTCCCCTCTGTGTAAAGAGATTCTGAAAGTTTCAGGAAAAAAGATTCGCTCTCTTTCTGTCCTGATCCATTTATATAAAAACCTGTCTGAAAATGAGCTGATCAGATTTTGGCCACTTTATGATGTCATTACGATTTGTTGGCTTGTGTAACCATTAGCCAATCACAAACCAAGGTAACCCCCTCCACCTTATCACCTGAATCTCCTCCTAGAGCACCATTGTGTGTTTTTTAACCAAATATCTCTCAGAGGGGCGTGGGGAGTGGCTCCTTATTTTCATCTGAAGTAAAAGACAGAGAATCAGCACATTTGAAACAGGGCTGAAACAGAGGGGATTATGGGATGCTACAATGCATGATCTGTTTGGTATTTGGAGCCAAACACTTCAGAGACATGTTTGTATATATCTGAGACCTTTAATATATTGATGAAAAACAGTATAATAGGGGACCTTTAATGTTGATCAGCTTGTGCTAACTAACAGCTCGTAGATATTCCCAGTGATACGAAGCGTACCAGCACTGTTGGTGGGGGTAGAAATTGCATTTATAATAATAATAATAATACATGGGATTTTGATAGCGCTTATGCTAATGCTCAAAGACGCTTTACATAAAATCAGAACAGAAACGGTACAAAGAAGAAAACAAAAACATGAACAGTAGTCCTAATCCAAGTGCATTTGAGACCTGCTTATGTGTGTTAACTTTAATGGTCTTGAATGTGTGTTTGTGTTCCCAGGAGAGACTCTGCTCAGCCCTCTGGTGATGTGTGGACCTCATGGCCTCAAGTTCTTGAAGCCTGTGGAGCTGCGTTTACCTCACTGTGCGTCTATGACCCCTGATGGTTGGTCTTTTGCTCTAAAATCCTCCGACTCCTCGTCGGGTATGCTGTGCTCTCTCTGTTCTTCTGGGGTCGTTTGGGCTGGCTGTGTGACAATTTTTGGGTTGTGGGTCACTGTTTAATTATTATTTGTAGATTTTACCCCTACTTTTGGTTCTCTTCATTAAAGAAATCTACATTTTGGTCACTCCAAACATCTGAGAACCAATCTAGAGGCAAAATCTTTTTTTCATAATTGACTGCTTTAGTTGATTCATTTTCATCATTCACACTAGTTAACTCACAATCACTGTATCACTGGTTTTCTTCATTTGGTGTCCAGATCTAGGTCTCCTCATTGCTTTTACATGCTTTAATTGCAGTATTTCACTCTTGTTTCTCACTTCTTTAATCATTTTAACAAGTTTCTCTAAATTCACTTAACATTCATGCATCAAACACTTGGCTGTATAATCATTTTTTCATCAGGTAGAAGTGTAATGCATGCTGCTCTGAGTGATTATTCTCACATAGCCACCCAAATCCCGACCTGAAGAACAGCTTTTATAGATCCTCCGGAAACTGAAACACTGTCATGACCAATAATGCCTGTATTTTATCCTTCAAAACTGTGAAACGTCACCACGTCAAAATATAGCTCTCTAAATGTAGCTTCCATCTTTCCTTAGTGTTCTCATTATTCAAGGTTGCTTTCAGGTGACACAAACATTTATGTTTTTGTAAATGCATCTTTAAGACTGGCTTCAGTCTTGCATTGGAAAACAGGGAAGTGGGCTGCAGGAGAGGATTCAGACAAATTCACATATTTAGCTGTAAACCCTCCATCAGTAAATGGTTATTTTGCTGTTTACACTTTATCATCTACTCAAAAATGTTAATCTAATATCTGTTTTTGAAATTTGATAAAGTACAGTATCAAATATTTCAACCATCTAATAAAGAACTGCCAAGAAATGTCCAAAACCACAGAACAGAATACTGTCTGTGAAGTCGATATCTATATTTAGACTTGAAATGATCAGCAATGTATGGACAAACTGCACAGATCATTATAATGAGTCGCAGCCAAGATAAACCCTTTCAAATATATCATCATGTAGTGTGTCATGTGACTGAGAAAACAGACATTAGGGAAATAACCCTGGTTCATTTGAGCTCCTGCTGTGAAAGTATTAAAACTAAATAAAATATCTAATTCCCCCTCTCCCCTTTCTTAACAAAGTCCCTCTCTTCTTCCAAACCAGTGGTGATGTTGGCAGTGGTCGAGATTAGCTGTTAATTAGCCTCATTTTAAGGATGAGACTTGCAGGGCTGAATGAGATGTGAGCTCACTCTGTTGTCCCGCTGAATTGTGGGAGGATTATCGGCCTGCGTCGTAATCCTCTTATTGTGAAGCAAGGCCGCTCTCTGGCCTCCTCCTGCCCTTCTCTGCTTTCCTTCTCACTCTGCTTCTCTCTATAAACAACTCTCTGCTCCTTCCTCCCTTCTATGGATACTGTGTTATTCCGTAGATGATCACTTTATGTAACGGCTGAAATGAGATACTGTAAAATAACTGTTAAGGTTGAACACCCTACCATCAAATGATGTCCAAATAGCTCATATTCTATGCAGTCTTTTGGGTTTGACCATGTCTGGAGATAATGTTTTGATAAGTGTGGTGCCTGTTTCTGTCAGAAATACGTATTGATCCCCTGGGCTGGTGGGTAGGTTTGTACTCCATGCTCTATTTCCACATTCCCAGGATGCACAAAAACAAACTGGCAGGTAATGTGATACAAATTGCTGCCGTCTGTTTCACTTATCCTCCGGTAGTATTATCATCCCAGAAAGTTGTGCTTCAGCAGGCGACAAAGTCTACTACCCGACGCACAGGAAGCATTGCTATGAACGACGCAGGTTTTATTGAAACCGAATGGCTTTGAAAATGTAGCTTTAATCTTTATCGGTGACCTTAAAGCTCAATTTACTGGACATGTTTAGGAGCTTTCAGACGCTTTTTGTGGTCTTAACCTTCAGATGGAGCAAACTCTTATCTGCTAATAAAGGTCACAAGATACGGCTGCAAGCTTCAGAAAATGTAATTATGTGGACCTCGCACTAAGCCTTGAGAATACACTAGCGCAAAAACTATTAGTTGATTAATTGATGGGTAGTCGGAAGTATTTTGGCAAATGATGAATCTTTTCCTCAATTCTGAAACAGTCTCTGATTTGCTGCTTTACACTGTTAACATATACACTGAATACAAGTGGGTGGATTTGGACAATAGGAAATGTGAACATGGCACATTAGAAACTGGTAAATATTTTAACGTCCAAATGATTAACTTCAAGAAGATTAATCAATAGCTAAAATGACGGTAAGTTGAACCTCAAGTATACACACAATGCGGTTTGGGAAGCAACGCTAAACATGAGAACTTCACAGGGTTCCTTTAATGTCTTCATAGTTATTATAGTCCGGACTGTTTTTAATATACTGAGTTGTGACCTTTTGTTTTAATGTTATGTGAGCAAAAGTTATCCGAAAAAGATTCCCAACTACTCTTTCAGATTTATTGCTGACATTTTCAACAATGCGGAATGAAAGTCTCCTTTGACTTTCGATTACCGCTCTGACAACTTTTACATGTGAGCTCTCCTCACCTGAGGAACCAAAGGACAGTCCCACGCACTCGTGTTAGGTGCTGCTTCACAGGCAGACATCAAAGAAATGATAAGGCAGAAGCAGCTGGTTATTTCAAGTTCTCAAGATCAGCGCTTTGGCACACCGCCTCCTTCAAGATAAAAGAAAAGACTCTTGATTAGTGTCTCGGCTACTTTACCTCTCTCGTAGAGGCTGTGAGACTCTAAAGGCAGGCTGGCAGTGAGTAGTTTTGTTTTTCATTGAGCCAGCATCCAGTACAGCTCAAAACAAAAGTTACACCAGAGGCGGGAGCAAAAGATGTTTGCAGACAAGGTTATTTCTAAAGTGTAGTTTTAGAGTTGATCTAAGAAGGAAACAAAGTCGAGTTAGTTTCACATCACGAAAGAGATGTCAGCAAACAGGGTCAGGCTCCCTCTCAGTCCCAATGAATCAGTAACGCTGCACTAAACCTCTGACTGCATTTATATAGCAATTTTATTTTCACAAGGGATCAAACTGTCAACCCTGTTACAACAAACCTAGAAGGAAAAAAGAAATGAGTTATGAGAGTCCAACAGTATGAGCCTGCTATTGAACCTAACACACTGCCAAGAAAGCAGTGGCTAAACACTGATCTTTGACCTGATAAAAAAGAGTCTTGATGAGTTTCAGGTTGAAGAAAGTCCTCTGCTCACATGTACCTCTTCATTGGGACCCAGAGTTTAGTGCTAGAGTCAGAGTCAGTGTTTATATGGTCACTTTTAGCGTACACGGTATCGATGGAGCGGTGCCGAGCTGGCTCTGCTTACTCTGATTGATTAGTGGAACTTTCCTCTTGGCACAGACCTGTATGTTTATAATTGTAATTAAACTCAGACCTCACAGTAACGGAGGCTTCATTTGAGGCCGTCAAGAGGCCATGGACATTCAATAAAAATGTGAAATCACTTCGACTTGCTTTTATAGGCCACAAAGCCATGTGAGATTACTTCACATGGCTCGGAGACGATAGATACGATCAAGCTCAGTGCTGTACAATACATTTGTTCAGATAATAGTGCTTGTGAAATGCGTTACAGCTCATTTTTCAAAAGCAGCTGTTATAACTCATCCCCCCCCCCCCCCCCCCATCTGTCTGTCTGCAGGTGACCCAAAAAGCTGGCAGAACAAGTCTCTCCCCGGAGACCCCAACTACCTGGTGGGAGCCAACTGTGTCTCTGTGCTCATCGACCACTTTTAAGGACGGACCATCAGCTGTGATGTTACTGAATGTGGAACCATGGGGATAAATAGAAGAGGATGGACGCACATAAAACACACACACACGCACACACACACACACACACACACACACACACACACACACACACACACACACACACACACACACACACTGACAGATGCACTCCCAACACACACACACTACATCATGGAGTATGAAGAAGACCCAGTGCTGTTTACTGCACACACGGATGAAGGCGAGACACTGATGATCGTTACAAGCTGTTCTTTAAACTCCCCCCCCCCCCCTCCCCCAATTATGAAGTTTTGATGTGAAATGAAACCATGGATGCATGCCACCGAGGATTGACACTATATATATATATATATAGTAAAGTGATGTTTAATGTAATTTTTACATGAATATAGTTGGATGGCTTTTGAGGCAGCATACATGCTTCAAAAATCTGTGTTGGTATATTTATGCTATATATGCATACAGTATATATAGTACTATAGAGAAGATAAACAAAAAAAAAGTACTCGTAAATTCAATTACCAGTCAACATCTCCACACTAAGGACATTTAATGAAGGTTTGAGACGTGAAGTTAAGAGGTTCAGGTATCTGTTGAAGGAGATGGTAAAACATGAGCTGGAAATAAACCCAAGCAGCACCCTTTTCAGAGACGTTCTTCCTTTACGCTTCCTTTTTCTACAGTGATATCTTGTAGCTTAACTTCCTACAGAGAACCACGTCTCTCCTTCCAGCCTGAGGGAGATCTATGCATGTTCTTTACTCAGGTCCAGTAACCTCCTCAGTTCCTTCCTCATAGCAATCTCTCTCTTATAGCTCTTCTCCTTTTCCTTCTTCTCTCTGTGCGCTCTTGCACTCACACTCAAATAAGCAGTGATGCCTTATCTGCAGATTATTCACTTTTCATTAAGAGAAAAAACCAACATAAGTTATGATAAATTATGGTATACTGTCATTTGTTTTGCCATTCGTCTGTGAGCCCACTGTATAAATGAACTTGGGATTTAGCACACAATAACAGTTTATAAAGGATAACAAAGGTATGCTCTTCTTTTATCTGCTATGCATTACTTAAAAAAGAAAAAAACTGAAAAGAAGTGGCTGTAAATAAAACTAGCATATTGCCTTGTTTCTTTTGTTTGTAAATGAACTTTTTGTATGTCTTTCTTTTTTGTATAAAACTTAGAGAAAACATGTTTTAAAAAGTGGAAGAAAGTAAACGTGGTAATCTTTGTATTCTGGATATACCCTCGAGCCTTGGAACTTGTAACCTAACAATAATACATCACGTCTTTTCTACCAATATATTCACATTATGTTAAGGTCACACACAAAAAAGGTATTTGTACGGCGCTTTAAAGGATCAGAAAAGTGCTTGGGCTAAAATACATTTAAAACTTGTTCTTTTAAAAAGGGTGTGCTCTCAAAGTGTCCCCCTCACTGATTTGTGATACTGGATGCTGTATCGTGTGCCCTTAAATGTATTTTTGTACTAATAGACGATATATGATGTATGGCACACCAGTACCATTTTTATTTTAGATATAACACGGCTTTAATTGGATATTAGCTCTTCACGTGTGGCTGACTTTTTTTCTCCTCTGCAACACAATTTTAAGTATACCACTGTATTAATAAATAAAATCATTTTTAAAGTAACTGTGTGTAAGGACGTTTTTTTTTATGATGATTGATGTTTTCTTTACTTTCACCTCAGCTGATGCACATAAGTTATTCAGGATTGCAATGAAACAAACATTTAACAGTATATTTGTATTATTTTTAGAAGAAACTATTGCTTGTGTATCAATAAAATATCAGAATATAGTGTTAAAAATAATTATCCAGGTGAATGTACAATTACATGTTTGGACCATAAACTCAAACATGTCCAGTTTAATGCTCCATAAGAATAAATAACAAATTCCTCTTTAAAGAGCTTGAGTCAGTACATTTTTTTAATAATTGAAAATGTCATTTTGTTATTTAACTCAATATGTATATATATTTTTAAAATCTAGATGTTTGGCTTTATATCATTTCATTAATGGACATCATGCTCAGGTTTCACAGCTAGGTGGTGCAGTTTAGCTCTGAATGAGTGCTTCACAAGGTCAGAAATACAGAAGTCCTTCAGATGTGATTTTAATGTATTTCAATATTTCTACTCTAACTTTAGTCTCTACGGCCTGCTGTGATAAAAGGAATTTGATGTGGAAAGAAAAGCAACATATTTTAGTGATATAAAGCCTTAAGCAATTATTTTAAAAACGAAACAGTCCCTGCATGTCAATGTGTAAGAAATGAATGGTTATGATGAAACATCTGAGCAATTAAATTAGCCTTACAGGATAAATGCTACCATTGGTTCTCAAAAACAAAAATATAAAAAGATCCTGCTGGGATGAACTTCTTAATCTCATTTCCCAAGAATGCATTTAATTATGCATCACAACATTGATGGAAAAACTAGTTAGACTTCGTTTTACTAAAGGTACACAAGTATTAGCATTAAAAAAATGCTTTACGTTTTCAAAGTAAAAGTTCTCATAATGCAGAATGGCCCAGAAAAGTATATCCTTCAGGTCTAATATTAATAATGTGTAAGCACTTGCAGCTAGAGGAGGGGCTAACATCCTGCCAATGTAATACATCCTAATACACAATACTTAATTCGGTGATTTTGTGTTAAAAGAAAAAATAAGACTCACACACTCAGTGGGAAAAAAAATTAAATACATAATATTGGATTTCAAATTGAATGGAGCAGAAATCTAAAGAAGCATAAATTGGAAAATATTCAAGCAAACCTTCAACTGTTTAAGTAGCCTAGTGAATATTTGTAGCCTACTTTTCAGCACTGATCAAAAGCCTGAACGAATGTGAACCTGACATGAGATTTTGTAATAATCACTAATTATTTAATAATGTGCCCAGTCTAATTTTAAGAAGCTCTTCAGGCAGGATCCTCACCAGGTGTGTCGCATTATTCACTACCTGCAGCCTGAAGGACAAACAGAGACATTGTTCAATGACAATGCAGTCGATGATGTCCTGATGCTGCGGCTGGAGGTTTATACGGTCACTTGAAAACATGTTTTTTTACACCCACAATAATTTAAACATAGGATTGTTTTTTAATCCTGGTTACATGATGAATAACACTCTTCTTCATGCTTTAAAAACGTGAACTCCTTTTATTAAAACAAAATAACCTTATTTATTGATAGGCTAATATGCTCACGTTTTCCTCCACCACTACCTCACCAGCAGCTAGTAACAAATCAGGCGCAGGTTTTTGATGGTGCCTGATAGTAGAGAGCCCTCCTCCTCCCCTCCTCCACTCTCGTAGTAAAAACACACTCCGTGCAGCTCGCCGCCATGAAGACGCACAGAGTGGCACCTCTCCAATACGCAGTGTGCATCTCCTGTCCTGGCTGCGAGAGCTGCTGTCGTCTGTGAAAACCTCACACAGAGGAAACGCTGCTCGCTCACAACTGCGGATATTTAACTAGACACCTAAAACCCCGATGATTTCTGCCTTATTTCAACGTTTTTTCTCTGTTTAATCGTACAGGAGTGCACCTTTCCTTTTATTCGCGTCTTAACGAGGCTTCACCTCTCGCTTTAGAGGAGTTGGAGAGCCTGCAGAGGCGAGCATGACAGCGTGACAATGGTGCAAGGCTGGCTGACAGCAGGATGATGCGCTTTTGCCCTTTTGTGTTTCCACTTTTGAGGAATGGGCTCTTTGCTGGAGCAGACGCCGAGAACCCCAGCTCTTTTTTTGGTGCGTTTTGACTTGAGAATCCTCATACTTTGGAGGAGTGTTATGGTAAACATCTGCTGGCTCGCACAGTCCGCTCTTTTCTCACCTTTCTCTTCCCATCCGCCGCAGAGCAGCTCTAATTGGAGCGACTCCGAGCATCCTAATTGATGAGGATCATCCCCACCGGATACTGACCTCCAGTGTACCGTTAACCAGCGCACTGCAGGAAACTCAACGACTCGGCTGTCTGTGGATGTAATTTCGTTTATTTGTGCTGCTGAGTTTGTCGTACCCCTCAGTGACCATGCCGGTGAGCGCGCTGCACCGCGGCGGCAGCAGCATGGGCGGCCCGGGGTCCCTGAGCCCCGCGTCGCTGTCCCGCAGCCTGTCCCGGCTGAGGGAGTACCGGACCCGGACCAGGATCATGCTGGCACTGGGGGTCTCTCAGATGGTCCTGGGGAGTCTCATCCTGGCCGTCAGCTTCGCGGCTCTGGCTCTCACCACCTCCCCCAGAGTCCGCCACTCGTGCCCCTTCTGGGCAGGTTTCTCTGTGAGTACTACATTACACACTGCTGCGTCTATTTGGTGGCAATAAACAAGCATGATGTGAGTTTTTTATGTTGTAAAGAAGAAGAAAGGTGGTGTAGCAGCTAATTCCTTACAGATTGGTAGTTTGCATCAATACAGTAGGCTATCAATAATCTGTATGCATAATGATCTCAATGTGGTGTCTATAGGATAACAACCTATATCGATACTATAAGCTATTACTTGATTTGTGTTATGTTTCAAAGAGGTTCCGTTCTTCAGTCTGAGGAGAGTTTAACTAATTGGGGTGCCATCGCCATGAATAGGAAGAAATTAGGTTTCTGAATTAATTTTGGTGACAATCTTAGGCAATTCGTTTTGAGCTAATCATCAGTGATACCACACACACACACACACACACACACACACACACACACACACACACACACACACACACACACACACACACACACACACACACACACACACACACACACACACACACACACACACACACACACACACACACACACACACACAGATATTGTCAAAGAGCAGGGTATTTATTTTGGAATGCTTTACAGTGCTCCTTGGTGTGTACAGTAGGGCATGTTGTGTTTGAGATGTTGTTTTTCATGTTAAATTTTCATGGTGTTTTACGTAAATATTTATGAATGCACACACATCCCTGATTTTCTGCCACAGACCCGAAGCAGGGCTGCCCCATTAATTATAGACGCAGCAGGGTAGAGTGCAGGGTTGAGGGGAGGTCTGTGGCACAAGGGCCATCTGTGTGTGTGTG